TACATTAATATGAATTCCCCTACATGTAAAAATAACCATATTTTTGTAAATCTTATTCCTTATCAGTGTAGATTAAAAAGTCATATTTCACATACAGATTTCATAATAAACAGGTTTCCAATTATGCATTAGAACCGAACATTTTAACTGTACAGTTAAATATTGCAAAAGAAATTGGAGTATTACTGGTTGTCAATTATGCGTGTTATGAATCAAATGTGATTGTTATACCGTGGTCCCAGCAGATAACTAGTAGTGAGGTTGGACGCAGGGTATTAGGGAATGATGGTAAATCAGTTGTTCAGGTTGTGAATATTCGTCGACTGAGATGCTGACTAGTATTGGCGATGGTTGGAAGAAAATTAGGGGTGGCCAAACCAAAACGTGGCACCAGTGCTTGAAGTCACTAACTTCTAGTCAGAGTCATGTTGGTAGATGCAGACTACTTGATTGGGGTCCACGTGACTATCGTAACCAGTGGTTGGAGACTGGGTGACATGGCTCAGAATCGATCACAATGGCGTAGGTGTATGCACTCTTTATCTTCCCTTAAACCTTGAGACTAAAATTGCTTCATATCTGTCTTTCTGTACTATATCCTTATATACAACCTTTCTTTTGTACATCACCACCACTAAATTAACTACTATGAATTTGGTGTTCATCTTGTTGTGCTAATGAGATATGGCAATTTGGACCGATGCATATGTGTGCCCGGTCCTACGTTGAAGCTGACTGACTGACCGTGTCTCTATTACTAACTACATTTGAAACTAACACAGAAACACTTCTAGTTCTGTGAAATCGAAAGTCGTGAATCCACTTTCAATTGATATTATTGATATTCATGAATTACGATAAGCTGAACAGGTTATGACTGTTCAGGTTAGGTATTAAGGATCAGAATTATTCATCCTTGCATTCAGCAGCTGATTAATCAATATCATAATCTAGGTTCAGCTAACTATGAACAGTGACTTTAGCTGATAATACGTTATCGTTAACCTGTGAATTCCAGCAGCAATTTATTGAAAATAACAAATAGTAAACACAATTGCTTAATTCAATACTGTATGTTTGATTACAGTGAAGAATTCTCAGTATAAGTATGCGATATTTCAACAAATCAGAATTTAGTATCCATTTAACTTGTTGATATTTACAAAAACATATGAAAACACTTTCTAATAGTAGTTAGCAGGAATTAGTCTTCATCCGTAAACGTTTTTCTTTGATCACCTTTTGTCATCTCATAATATATTAGACGCCTGCACTACCTTTCATTTCTCGAAAACACACGAAGAGGAAAACAAACTAAACACCGTGACAGTGCGGTTTGAACTTGATGACTATTATTCATGACATGCAATCAGCTTTCCATAAAAGTCTTTGAGCACATTAAAGAGATTAACATTATTGGTTAGCCAGTCAGAACAGACTAAAAATAGGAGCAATGAATTGTAATATCTATACAGTTGAAGAGTAGGTGATCTACAAGTACGAGGATAAAGGATTTTCAAGAAGATAGCCATAATGTAACCAGCATGTTTAATAAACTGGCAACTTAACATGTATCACTGATTACACCCATATTTCTATTGTATTATAGAGACGACGCAATAAATTAGTTAAAAACCAGTCACTTACCATTAACATAAATGCATATTTATCATAATACCTGTTCTCACAAATTTTCATAATGAATTTAAAATTAATTGCACTAGTTTTGAGCATTTTTGAAGATTCTCACTTTAAAATTAGTTGAGAGTTGTTTTGAGTTCCATATGTTCTTAATTGTAGAAATCCTGCCCTTGCATTGACAATTCTGGCCTGCAAATTTGTATCAGATCCTCCTTGTTCATCAATGATGCTTCCCAGGTACGTGAATGTTTCCACTTCTTCCAGAGTTTCTCTATCAAGTGTGATTGGCTTGGCGTTCTCCGTGTTGGATTTGAGAATCTTGCTTTTTCCTTTGTGTATGTTGAGGCCTATTGATTCAGAGGCTGTTGTTACATTTGTTGTCTTCGTCTGTAATTGTTCGTGTGTATGAGAGAGGGTTGTCATAGAGATCCATTCCTTGTGATAGTGTTTCTTGCGACCCAGAACCTCCTGACACGTTGAAGTTAGTGCTTCTTTGATCCCTTTACCGTTGTCCTCCATCGTAGTTTCTTGTTCTTTCAGTAGATCCTGTAGAGCTTGGAACCTGTTGTTGAGAGTTATTTTGAATTAACTGAGTTTGTCAGTGAATGGAAGGAAGGCTGTATTGAATCTTTGTACAGTTGTTTGTCCAGTGTTTCTTTAGCTTCAGTTTCATCTTGACCACAACCATGTGGTGACCTGAAGCTATGTCATCTCTTCTCCTTGTTCTCACATCTTCCATTGTCTTTAGGAATTTTTTGTTGATACAAATTGATAAAAGTCTAGTATAAGGATAATTCAATCAGAATCAAGAATGTGACTTTTAAACTTTAGCGTGAAATTCAAATTTCACGTATATCAACCAGCATAATTATCTCATATTACTCAAAACGTTTAGAATGATTGCGAAAGATTACTTTCAACCACAATAGAATCTTACACAGTGTTTCCTGTTTGACTAAGAACTGCCTGAAAATGAATTGCAGTTGTTTTAAGTTCAGCCTCTACACTATACTTTCACTGATGAATTAATATTAAGAAGCTATTTATCACCCTGTATGTTCCACTATCAACCTTAACTTATTTACTAAATAGTGAACTTGGTTTTTTTCAGTTCAACATTAAAACAAATGTGTATATGAAAATAATAACTTCAAAATGACCATATTTTATTCAACTAATTACAGTAAATAAATTTCTAAAAAGGAATTGGAAATCAATACGAATTGGACTTCATGTTCAAAGTAATTGTCAGTATCGTATTAAATTTAATGCAATATTGTGTTAACCTTTACTTTCTACGGTCATTGTGATAGTTTAATATGAGGAAATATTTGAAAAGTAAATATAAATGTTATTACAATATGCTGTGAGTCTAAAACGAAATTTATTGAAATGTTAGTTAATAATTGGGAACGGATGATTAAAAGGCTTAACAATGAGAATGTTCACAGACAATTAAGATGATGTGGTGAAAATTGGTAAGAATAACATACTCATTCAGAATACATATTATCACAAATGGTGCTTTCCAAACACAACGATCATATTGCCAGTAAAAAGAATGGTTTATCAAGTGGTTACTAAAAATTAAAAAAAATGCATACTAAATGTTATGAATTTAAAAAAAGAACAAGGCCGTATCCAATTTGATATGATTTTATGTCCGGCTTGTTATCAGGTGAATTATCCACCAATCGAAATACGACTTATCTAATCTTAACACTGTGCCAAATCAATAACGTTCGACCAGTATGAGCAGTCTAGCGTCCTTATTGATCCTTTGTCCGCCTAGCCTTTCCAATTGAGTCCAGAACACCAATTACAGCTTCTGCTATGCGAATCATTTATTTCAAACACACTCGGTTTATATACCAGACAGACTGTAGCACACCATAAAGTAGAAAATAATATTTGTACATGATCAAGCCAAATGTGGCTGTGAACATAGGATACAATAATCAATAAACTGAATATAATTTAGGAACAGTAAATCCTATAATAATAATTCATAGATCAAAATGAAGCTTATAATAAGATAAATATAGATATACACAGTCTAATTACTCAATAGTTAAGCAATAAGAATATATAGAGAACAATAGTTCATTTAAAGGTCCTGGGACTTACCTGTACTCATGTCTTCACCAGGATATAATACTAAACAATTACTAGTACAAAATATCGTTTACTTTAGACACTACATTCTCTTAATAGCAGCCACCGAATGAGATAACTAATACGTTCTATTTATATTGAACTTAGTAAGACCAAAAAAGCTATAATCAGTAGGATCTCTGACCTTTCATATAGTTAAGAAGAACTACTATGCTTTAAAAGTTGAAGATCACCAAAAAGTTTTATGTCTGTTGATTATTACTGTATAAGTATTCAAGATAATATTTAAATCCGTAGGCAATTTGTTCTATTTCGGTGCATTATAGGAATCAATTGGTTCAGTTTTGAAAATAAATTTTTTGTAAACTGATTAGTAATAATCTATTGATTTTTTGGGTTCGGTTGTCTAGTTTAGTAAAAAAAACTAGAACATTAGCAAGTTCACAATATACATACAGAGATAATGTGTGAAAATAATTCACACATGAATGAAAAGGCGAAACCATTTGGTTTATTATGTATATGCATGTATAGATTGATATAATTTAAGGCGTATATTCCAACGATATGAAAATGATCAGTCTTACTGTACTAGAATAAGCAAAACTTGATTGCTTTCTTAACAAATAATTGATTATAGTAATTGGTTATTGACAAACAATCTAGTCAAAATAAACAACAGTATTTATTTACTCAGTCTATTTGAAAACCATATATTCTTTTTTTCTCTCATACTCTCTTAGTTGTTTAATCGTAGTAGATAGTTAATCGAATATACATCAACATGTCTACACTTGAAAAGCATATAAATAAATAAAACAGATGAAACATAGAGTTTCGTAAGATTAAAACAAGTTCTCACAAATAAAATAACTACAATTTACGAAATCGTGGATTGGTTGAAGTTAGACATTAACACCGTTGGATGCCGGCTCAGTGGTCTATATGTTAAATGCTCTGGCGCGAGACTGGTAGGTCCTGGGTTCGAATCTCGCGAGTGAGGGATTGTGGCAGCGCATAATAGGACGAAATGACCGTCCAGTGGTTCAAGGTTTTCCATGGTGGTCTAGCTTCAATTGACTGATGATTTCAACTATAAAAATTTACGAATTACCAATATGAAATACTGTACATATACTATTACTTATTTTACATATTGACTAATAGCAGTATCATTTAATGAGTTTTCACAATCGGTTAAGTTGTTGTTCAATGTTAAACGGAGAAAAAATTAGTTTATAAACGTAATCCAAAATATTAAATTTCAATTATATTTAGATGTAATCGGATCAACAGGTATAAATAAACACAATGGAACATTTGTAAACGGAGAGGAAGATAATGAGAATATAAATAAATCAATTATCATGATTTCAACAGAAACAATATAGTTGAATAGTAACAAATTATAATAATTAAAGGAAAGAACCATTACCATTATAAAACCTCTTCAAGACCTAGTTGAAAATATACAATTCTAAACCTGATAATATTAGCAAAATACACAGAAAAGGTATTAAAACTATTTAGTGACAATATTCTTTCTAAACCTTTCTCTACGTTAAGAATGTTGATAAACAAGTAGAAAGAATTACTGAAAATTATATTGACATGATGTAAAAAAAATTGATAAGATATTATATAAATATAGAAAAGTGAATTTGTCCAAACAACTATTATATCAATCACGTTAATATGAAAGAAAGAGAACAATGTTTTCATATATACAACAAAAACAGAACAAAATATACACATCAAAGAACTGATTGTACAGAATGACTACCGAAAAAAAACAACAACGAAAATTAACTACTCATAATCCATTTACTAATAGATAGAAATAGAATGAATAAACTTGTTCCAATCAGATCACCTGCACCAGTAGTGACAGCTATAGCGGAAAAATCAATTGATGCTAAGGATATAACATTATCATGAGAGTTTAACTGTTTTGTAAAGTGTAAATATCTCCAAAGTTTTAAAACAATCCATTTTGCAAATTTAAGAAGTATGCATATCTAAAAGTAATAGTATGAGAGAAACAAAAAAATACAATGATAATTTCCTGTGTATTATATATGAATCACCTGATTGTATGCAAGCTTGTTAGTGCACTTACAATAACCTCAAAAGGAAAAAAGCATTCACCAAAATCGATCTTGCATGAAAAAATCAATACATTCACTAATTGGAAACATATGATTACGCTAAAGCTTATAAACTGTATGAATCGGGTCTAATTTAGCGATGTATCTAGATTAATTGAAACAACTGAGTTATATGTTACACAAACCAATTTACTGTATGACCTGATGCCAAGTGCTAGCCTAATTAAGATTGGTTTGGAAAACAATTAAGGATGAAAATCTTAAGATTATAGAAAATAATTGTAGCTTATTTTGAGGACGTTGGAACTGTTGCATGCCCTTTGGATCGGATAGTTTGGTTGTGAACACAGCACCAGTCTATCAAGAAAGCACTGATTATTAGTCTGATTTGTGTAGATGAATGTAGACTTCTTTAATGTAGTTCTAGAGACAAAACAAACTAGTGACTAGGGATCCTAAGTAACATAGTTGTGCACTAAACCCAATAGTCCAAATGTCATAAATTTGTTTTTTCAGATTCTGAACAGTTTATTTCACTCTATCCAAATTCTTGTTAAGATAAGTTCTAGCAAAAACAGGTCTAGAGAAGTTGATTTCATAAAAAAATAGACTAATCTCCGGGTTTTTTCTATCTAAGAGAACCAAAAATAAAAAGAGGCAAGTTGGCTGAAAAAGGCTCACAAATATATATATATATATATATATATATATATATATATATATCGGATAATCAGTAAGTACATAAGAAAGCAATTTACCTGTATGAATCCAGCGATGACGTAAGGAATTAAAATGTCTAAATGTAGAGGTGATATGGTCTTTGGAGAATTATCCTGTTTTAAATAATAATTGACAGTTACACTGACTATAGTTAAGATAAAATGTAACGGGACACACAGGAATCTGATAAGTTTAGATACCTGTGAAACATCTATATGAATTTCATGTATTTTTCTACAGGATCCGAATGTTTCGAATGATTGAGATGATGTGTAGAAATGTGAATTATTAGTTGATGTATATTTTCTATCAGAGTTCTCACGGTTGACTTCTTCAACTGTGACTAGACCAGATGTTGGAGAAACGAGGAACGATTCCTTCAGAGGAGGTTTTTTTGAACAAGTTATTGAATGCAGGTGTGTTGTCATTCTGCTAATTAACATTGAAGCGAAAATCCCCCCCACGCCTACACGCAAAAAAGGCATAAATAAATATGTGAGAATATAAAATCGACACAAGTTAATAATTTATTTAATACCATCACAAGCTGTACAAAGCATAATTGATGATCAAACGATCATTTTAACTAATAAAGCTTACATTTGATAAAAATGCGCGGTACATAAATATTTGTAATATTCAGTTACAGATTGTTTTGGACATAATAACATTCGTAATATCTTCAATATTGCACTAAAGTATAGAAAGTAACAACTGTAGATGATGTAGGATTAGAGCTTTTGTGATTTATAATTAAAGTTAATTAAGTGAATAGATAAAGATAATTTTTTTGAAAGGGAAGCTGAATTAAATATTTTCTTGCATAAGTATCAGAACAGTTCAAAGCCTCATAATAGAGTAACAAATGCGATTAGTTTTACTACCTCAATATTCAGTTTTAACATGGAAGGATTACAACAATTCGGTGTTACAGTTAAAACATCCTAACGGTGACAACACAAAAATATTAGCTTGTAACTATATAATATCATTAGTCAAAAGTTAATGGATCATCTGGAATACAGTAAAAGCGAGAATCGAAACTTCTCAGATAGTTCAAAATAAAATACGGAACTAGTAGTCAACTGTCACAAGTCATATGATGAAGTTTAGTTACATTGTATTCGAGTCCCTTGAGAAAGCAGAAATGGATAGTTTATTGTCTATGGAAAAGTGAAAGTATGATTAGGTATAATCTTACTCCAAATATTACATTTTCATAATAATAACTAGATCATTATTAACATTACCGTTTAATGACACAAATGTGATAATACTGTAGTGAACGAGAACACAAGTGGGGACAATCGAATGTATTTGAACACAAAATTATAGTACATCTTAGTAAAATCTGAGAACCGTACAGTAAATACCTCATTCGCAAAATGTCAATCAATTGTCTCAAACTTGACTGTTCCTTTTCCAAATATCAGTCAATTGTCCCAGACTTCATTCTTCTTTCGTTTCCACACCAATCATTTTTTGTTCTCGTTCTCTTTCTTCAATCTTCTTAACCTTCTGCCTTCAGGCATTTCACTTTCTATTGACAATACATACTACTTATATCTATCGACATCAGTAACACACACCACAATACTATAAAACTAAAATACAATTCACAAGTGATGCAAATGCAAATGTGCCACTAGACAGAATTATTTAAAAACTTAAATCAATGTTATGCAATCTCAATCTCTATTGAATAGCGTTCAATGGATTATTAATTATTTTTTCAAGTCAAACTAACATTTCAAGATACTATGCATTTCAAATAACAATACAAGTCTTACAAGTATTTAATGCAAAAATACTGAAAAGTTGTCTTATAATGTTTTGTGAACACCGAAAGGTAAAAAACATTGATTTTCGTTTAGACATTAACGTACCGCTTTTTGGCTCTCATTCGCTGAGATTTTACAAATATATTATTCCTATTTAATGTCTTACATCAACTCGGCGCTCAAATACTGTGAAACTATTCGCTCTAATTTAGACGAGAGTTCTTATAAACTAATTACAATGGTTGCTATTTTGAACATTAATACGCTTACCAGTGGGTATGAGATGTTGGAATAATTTGAAACTATACCAACATTGAAATAAAACTTGACACTTTAAAGTCAAATAAAACAGAATTATTATTGTCGTTACTTATGGCTATCGTACTTGAGATTACATAGCATTATGTGCATAAAAATAACAAATGTTTACTAACAACGTTATATAGCCGATATATATCAAGAAATATTATATTCTTAGATTAGAAAATCCCAAGAAAAAATCATCGTTGTTGTACGTATGATTGATTTGTAGCACTTAACAAATGACTCGATATTACTATATCCTCGTAAGCAATTATTTACAATGCAAAATTGAATTTATTAAACACAACAATCAGTATTACGAATGTTTTAAGTATAGATTTGTTGCTATGCGCAAGAAGTTTCTCTGATAAATAACTATACTAGATGTAGGCAAACTATGACCCACAAGTCAAATATGGATTTACAATCGATTCCATGTGACAGGCGGAAATACTCACCACCCCCAAATGCCCTGGTACGGCCGAGAGTGGGTAGGTGCCAACCTCTCTCTCTAAATGCTCTCACATGGCCACGCGTATATAGCCACTACCAGGGAAGTCCTACTCACTGCCTTCTCGTGGCGAGGGTGTTGTTTACAAAAGTGAGAGGACGAAAAGCGAATGTCCGGCGCTTTAACCGAGTCGGTGGACACGGAAAGTCCGCCTAGAGGAGTTGGAAAACCCTGATTCCAAACCAATGATGCACATGGGCTCTAGTATCCTGAGGGAACAAATGGCGTATGAACCAATCGTTGGTCACCGGCTACCATGGGACTGCATCTCCTCACGATGCCCCACTGCCTTTTGGATTAGACCTTTAAGCCGAAGGCTCGAGGTGTGGCCCTCTAAGAAAACCACCTGCTTCGGTTTGGGCACCAGGGCAGTATCACAGCCCTCGTGCAAACATATGAAATAACGTTTTCCGCTCACGATGCTTTTCTCGCTCCCCGATTCCAGGTGGTTCGTGATATCATTTATGAATATGCTCAGGAGGCCGAAATTCAGACACTTGGAATTATCCTGAAGAAACATAGCATTTTATGTCGAAATATTAGAAAACAGCTTTTAAAATTCATCTCAATCTGCTGTTTCAGAAATTCGATGAGTTTAACCACGTTCATTAATCAAATTTACAGAGATGATCCCTGCGGAATCTACCTAGAAATACAGCTGAAAGATTTTAGCACTTAGTAAAGAATCTTTACAACTTTTAAGAGAATTTAAAACATTTCGATTACAGTTTAAATTGTCGACTGATCCTTTTTCCGATTTAGTTTCCTATACCTCTAAACTAAACAGTGAAATCAATCAGTATCCGATACATTTCAACATAAAATAACCGAACTGGTAACTTACACTACAAATGTATCACACAGAACTGCTGTACTCGTCACAAATCAATCTTAAAACTTATAACCAAGAAGAAAGTTCAACTTATACAAGACAATTATTGGAGTATGGCTACTTATATCCACATAAGTAGTATGTATCGTGAGTCAGGAATATAATATCTGGCGACAGAAAATTGAGATCGAGAAGGGAAGAACAGAAACAGAAAGTAATTGGTGTGCAAATCCAGGAACAATGAAGCTTGAGACAATTAACAAACATTTTGTAAATGAAGTATCAGAGTATGATTTTTCTATTTTATCGAGCAACTTTGTAATTTTTACTAAATACATAATCGGTTGTCCTCACTCACTACAGTAGGTTTTTTCTTTTCACAGTTCAACATATCGCCACGTGACACAATATTTACGAAGTACATTAATAGATTAGTAAAAAGTCACACTTACGAGAAAAGTCGCGTAATGACTAACTCATGTAAACTATTAAGATGAGTTTCATAATATGTGGAACTACTACTGATCTAGAAAAGGATCAAGGTTCTGAAAATAAGGGCATTATCATTTCACTGCAAAACAAATCTCAAACAATGGAGGAAAAACCTTATTGTTTTCCAAACTAGGTACTTATTAATAATGTTAAGTCAAGGGTTATTTTAAGTATAAAATCTTTTTACAAGACTAGAAACAACATATGTTTAGTTTTAGGTCTGAGTGTAAGCAGTCAGTAGGAGGTTCAAATACTTAACTACATTGTATGGAGTACGCATACGTGTATAAAAATGGTATTATTCTCGCTTTTGCACACAATGTGGTTAAAACAAGTTCACAAAAGTATATACACGATGAATTACCATTTATTGGGACTTGAAGGCGCGCAATAATGGGCCAATCTATCAGAAATCGGGCAGATATATTCCCACAAATGCTAGCAAATTCAAAAGTTCGATTTGCAAAAGAAATAAATTGTTCAATATTACCTAATACAATAATTTTTAAAAATATTATGCACGAAAAGAATGGAAATAAGATGAAGACAGTTAAAGATTGACAAGATTTCTTAAACAATAGGAAACATGAACAGAAGCGCTTGAACTACAAGCAGCTTATCACACTTTTATACGAATACAGGGGAAAAATATACAATAGTTCTAAATTTCACTACACCCAAATGTGTCTAGAAGCAGTTCTTTCCAAATAAAATATAGATGTTTCTTACTTCATCAACTAGTATAGACCATGAAGAGTCAATGTTTGGAAACGAATACATCACTGTGTAACTTACAGAAAAGTTCTAATGATGAAGTGGGGACATTTTCGGCTTGATTAAGAAAAAAGTTTTCTACAACATAAATTGATATCACTTTATGAGTATACTATAGATTACATCTGAATGATGGAATAAACTACGCGTGAAAACCCGGTCAAAAATATATGGACTTAGGAGAGAATCTACGGCTGTGAATAGTAAGGTGAAACGTGCATCTTAAGAAGTTTAACGTTAGGTAACAGTTCCACACTGGAGAAAATGGATTCATTCCTCATCTATTCACAGATCTTGAATTTAAATATTATCTGTTCCGTAAAGTCATTTTCTTTTACTAACTATATTCTAGGTATTTAGTATTATTCACTCACATACACATCACTATCACTTCGACTCCTTTGATGTGTATCTTTTTAGTTTCATCTTACTGTAGAAATGCAGTGCTGTAAGTTGGGCTGAATTATGATTGGATCAAATCCTACAGTGTTTATGACGAAGTCTGAATTTGATAACTTTAGTTCTATTTATGACAGACACTTTTATTAATCCAAAATTTATTTTGTTACTAAGAAATGTGTTTATTTCAGGAAACATACTATGACACCTACATGCACATAGTAAACTATCACGAATGAAAGGAAATTACTGATATGATGGGGTCAAAAAGCAAAATTAGATTCTTTTACTTATTGTGATTTTTGTTCAACTTTACTTCCGTATGTTTAACTCAATGTGGTATTTGTTTTGTTTTTCCAGCATGATAATTTATTCGTTATAACATTAATTTATTTGAGTGTGATGTTTCTTGAAGATATGATATTGTTGTATTAAATCAAAGTGAACTATGTTCAGCATGACATGCGACATGTACTGTTTTTATAACTCTGGGTACTTTTCATATATGTGATTTGATCCTAATTAATCATCAAAATGGATGTACAATCAATATATGAACGTAATTTTGACTGGGGTCGTCGTGTGTTGGGGTTAGTAAACCTTTATTTGTACCAGTCTTGGTGTTCTTACTTCGCGGCGTGGGAATTGCAGTAGTTCCTCCTTTTTCAAGTATAAGTAATAAGCGTTTCTGACATAACAGTTAATGACTAGCCATGACAATTACGTACGTAGTCAGAAGGCAAATAACATTTACATCGAAAAGAAGCTATAAGGACTAGGTAAGTAGAACAACTAAAAAATATTCTACAACATAAAAAACCATATGGTTTATGACTTCTCATGCAAATTTTTACTTTCAACTTACCTACTCATGATAATTGCAAGAGTTAAAGGAACGATGGTTTCTTTAAAAGTATTAGGTGTAATAATAAGACTGAGTAGATCACCAGATACGTTGACATTTGAATGGCATAATAAATAAGATATACTCAAAATAAGAACGACAGAAATCATGCACACAGCAACAGCGACAGTTAAAGTTGGATCTACACGAACATTACCAAAAATGAAAATAAAAGGTGAAAAATATTCTTACAGATTCCCTTATCCAATGATATACGTGATATACTTGGCATCATATATGATTGAAACCTAGACATTGCAAAATTACCCTTATATACATGATCGATTGATCATAGAATCTATTAGTTTAGAAGATTGAAGTGTAATTAGTGAATCAATGCTACTCACTAATCAAGTATTAGACCGCGTAATAGGCTACGATCCATACATCTTTTGTGATAAAATTACACTGAATCGAAACACGAGGCGCAAAATCTGACTCTGAAGCGGAACCAGGAAGTTGCTATTTCACTCATTCATTAATCCGATCAGTCAGGATATTTATATAAACATATTTAGCAAAACGTTGGGGAACATATTTGCTTATTGACTTAGTGAGACGTCAATTACTATTAACGGGGATGCAGTTAATGGCAGATGGGTCATCTCTGATGCTTAGTGGAAAACTAACCACTACAAGTCTATAAGATGATGCCAAAGATTCTTCAGATAAGAACACACAGAATGTACCATTTGAATAGACAAATATCCAGTGAATTGGCAATACCTTACTACAATTTTGAACAACCACTGAGATAAAAAGAAAACAGTGAAATTTCTCGAGGACTTATCTAAATATGCTGGTTGTAATATTTGTAACAAGATGAGAATGTTTAGGAGACAGGTTTAAACGATGATGTTAGTTACAAAATGGGTGGATCCGAGGTTACTTTTAACTATACCTTACAGAAAAAACCATTTAGCAAACTAAAACTACTTGAGACAGAAAATAAATTTTGAAGGAAGATTCTGAATGAGTTCAAAACTAAAATCTACTTGCAAATTTGACTTATAAAATTGTAAGACGGCAGTAAACTGAGGAAAGCTCATCACGAAATACTCTTTAATAGGTGATTCAACAACTGGAGCCACCGATGATGCAGGTTAGCGAAATAAACGAAGGCTATGCAATCTGATCGAGATTTCGACGACTAGTGCATCAACGCTGCCACAAGCCCATAAGTATTTAAAGTGATCCTACATTAAGCTACAACGTATCAGTTAGATCTCGGTCCAGGTCAGTTCTTCAGTATTATTTGACAATTAATGACCCCATGTTAGGTATTCCTTAGTATTCGCTCAAGGTATTCAGGAGATCCTGGAACTTTCCAAAGTGTTTGTCTGACATAGTTATACTACCTCTTTACTCTACATCGTGGAGAACTACTACGACCATCATCAGGAAGGTACAAGTATTTATAAACAGTTGTCTACGCAAAATACTCAACATCCATTGACCAGATACTATCAGCAACAGAGTTTTATGGGAGAGGACAAACCAGCTTACAGCTGAAGAGGAAATTAGGAAAAAGACGTTGGAAGTGGATAGGACATACATTAAGGAAATCACAATGTGCATTACAAGGCAATCCCTAACTTGGAATCCGGAAGGGAAGCGAAAAAAGGAAGGCCAAAGAACACATTACGCCGGGAAATAGAACCAGATATGGAAAGGATGAATAATAATTGGAAAGAACTGGAAAGGAAGGCTCAGGACAGAGTTGGATGGAGAATGCTGGTGAGCGGCCTATGCTCCTCAACGAGGAGTAACAGGTGTAAGTAAGTTACTCTACATCGATCAAGGAAATCTTTGATTAACAGATTATTCATCTTAAAAGTCAAAGGCAAACAACTTTACACTGATCAGTGTGTTTATAACAAATTTTGACGGAAACAATTGACGTTTTTTGATAGAAAGCAGTCTGTGTTGTCACGTCGGGTGGCATCCTTTTATAGACTCTTAAATGTGACTAATAATTATGTCTCAACGAAAAGTCATTAATGACAACATACGCGTTTTATGCTTCGTTCCAAATTAGGCACAACCATAAGATATCTCTACTGACAAAGTAACATCCAGGTTTTACACCAAAAAAATAACGAGTGGAGTGCTGGTAAGTTGCCTGTATACCAAGAACTAACATAAGATGAAAGATGTGTTAATAAATTCGTCTCGAGAACGGAAATCAGTCTGACCTACTTGGGTTTGCCATTTTCTGCTCAACAGAGTAAGGTTATGACCTATATACTTTTAGAGGACAATTTAACCAAAATGATTTCCTTGTGGTTCTCTTAAAGTGTTTTGCATTTTGTTATGAAACTAAATGATCGAAGATTGAGATTGGTCTGGAGGATTTATTACTGATTCCCATACATTATCTAGTACCTTAGATGAAATGACACCAGAACGTCATCTTCGATAAACTATGTAGGCCGACAGTTAGGTTTTGTTTCTACATCTTGTTTTATATTCATTGCAGCTTTTTCAACGTTAGCGAAAGTCGAATCGCTGGGATCTAAACCGCTGCTGCAAACCAGTTCCACAAGATATTTCAATCAGCCGTTCCGAAGTGTGAATTACTTCTAAAATGATACTGAGTGTGATTCAGTAAAGCAACTATTGTTCTTGATGACTGTGAATCTTCTGCTTTCATAATAATAGTAAATGCGCTTCTAAGATAAGTTAAGGATTAATCTGGTATAACATCACTTTGTATTCTTGGAAATTCAACCATAGATTATTTAGTTGCCAAGGTAATGACTTAGTTTTTTTGAATTTACCTGTAAGTTTATATATATATATATATCGAAATTTTTGTCGAAGGGGCGGTCAGTATTGTCCAAATGTCCCAGAATAAATTTCTCATTGTTTTATTTTGTTATTTGACCAACCACGTAGGGTGATGCTCAGAAATTTGAACATTTAATGTTGCAAGATTATATTCTTCCTTTGTCAGCCAGCCAAAATTGAGATCAAGAGGTAAAAAAAAATGTGGCCGGTTTTACTGTTTCTATGTGTACTTACTGTTTCAACTGATTTTATGGAGCCAGTTATATTGGGAATAAAATCAGGCGATTATATAATTGGATTAATTAAGACCTACGACCATTTATTTGGTATTGATTCATATTTAATTTAAAAACCTATATATCAGTGTATGGCTTTGATAAGGAACGAATCAAAAAATATTTTTTTGTCTGACAGTACTTAGTGGAACAATTATCATGTTAGATATGACTTCCCAAGATATGTGAAACCAAATTGAAATATTTAAAACGAAGGACACTGGAAAAAACTGTGCTGATGAACACAGTGATAGAGCAAATATATATCGAGACAACCCCAACCGTATACGAACAGTAATTTTAAAATAAGTCACTAAGGTTTGTGAATAATTGCACTGCAATTCAGAGTTTTATATAAATTGTCAAGGTGGCTCAAATTTTACTTGACAATTAAAACCAAAAGCGTGACGACTTACATTTATCGAAAATATTTACTCGAGTCAAATATTTACGAAAATTGAGGTATCCATATTAAAATGGACGTGACAATCGAACTCGTGAAACCCTTTGGCCATACAGAACTTCCAACATTTTGATATGGTAAATTTTACGGGAAGCTGTTGCTATATATTAAGCAACACTTCGGGTTTCTCAGCAAAAACTGGAAAATCCACACTTCGAGAAACCTATTAGTGACTGAGTACAAGTTATAAAATATTTAGGTGTCTTGCACAAACTATTGCACTGAGAAATAAGAGTAGATTGTTTGTATGAAACAAATACAAATAAAAAACTCACTCATTTTAAAGTAATAATTCACATGTGAAATAATCAAAACAGTCACAAGATCACCCAAAGCAGCGGCTGCAGGTGGAGCAACATTATCAGGATTCGCTCCGCAAAAAACGCAAGAACATACTATTGCGTAAACAACAATACCTTTAAAAATGTTGAGCAATAAAAATTGAACACTTGCCTATAAAACACGTGGCGCAGATGCAAGTCATTGATGAAATGCAGATAAGATGGACAAGATCGACAGGGAAATGAGATGTGCTCGATGATTTATGTAAAGTTATTACCACTAAAGGTATAATTGTGCTTGCGAACACAGCAAGAACCTATTAAGATATATATAAGAAATTTAAATACTTAACAAGTATAAAAGCCAGAGTGGTTGCGAACAACCAGAAAGACAGTTCGTTAAACTTTCTTCGAAAATGAACCTAAGAGTTTTAGGAAAACATATTGTCAAACAAACCATAGTAGCTAATCGAGAGGAAAGAGCAACTTCTAAATTTCCTTTCAGTCCAAGAATTGGTGGGATGATTTCAAAAATACTTTCATCTTTCGAAGTTAAACTGCCCTACAGAAATGTAAATTATTAATCATGATCATACGGAAGACTTGAGCATATCAACATAACATCCCGCTACTACCATCCCAACACCTGCTAAAAGACAGGCGGGAAACATTTCACGAGCGACGTAGTAAATATGTCGAGAAGAAGACATTGTGAAATAAGTGTTTAAGCAATGAGAACATTTCGAAAATTCTTCAGACTTTGGCCAGGGAGTATATACAAAATCTAAAAGACAACAAACATTATGTTGAGTAAGACTTACGTACTTCGCTTGCCAAACATTCTCCATGTGAATTTACAGTAATTTGACGAAATATTGTGATCCTTGTCAGTTAGTGAACTAGTTTGGCTTCAACGATAAACAAAATAAGGTCAGAAAATTTATGTTGAGACTGAGTAAAAGTTGTCAATAAAACTTAGAGAACAGCTATTTGAAAGTTTTATACTGTACAAGTTGAATCAACATGGCTAAGTTTCGCGTTCCAATGTACAAAACGGAATAACATTTAGTTACTTCGTGAGACATTTTTATAACTGACGAGTTACTTAGATCCACTAAGTGGTTTGTGAACAGAAAAAGGTGAGTGTTGAAAATGTCCAATAACTACTTTTACAAGCAGAAATAAGTTTTTGGCAAAGAAAATTTCAAAGCATTTAAACAAGATAACCATCTTAGAAATAAAAACTTGGTAGAGAATTCGTGAGCGAAGTCACTTTACGTCAGATTACACAAGGTATTTAGCGGCTATATAACCAAATAGATGTCAAAATAATTAGTTTAGTTAACACCTTATCTCGACATGTAGTAGTGTGAATGAATGAATAAAGGAGAAGTAGTCAAGATCATCAACTTTCAACAATACCCTTTCAAGTTTCAGTAAAGGTGGATGGATATGAAATAAAGGCATCACAGAAACAGGAAATGGGTGATACATTATAGTTTGTTTACGTTAGATTCTTTATAGGCACATATAAAAACTACGCTAATTCGTGGGATCAGCCTTTCAGGCATAAAACATTGATAAGATAGATAATGGCATTATAGATTGGGGTTTTTGGGTCTAGGTGAATGCATTACAAGCTATGACATACATAATTTAGATGCTTTATTGAATTTATTAAAAGTGTAGGCTAATTGTATTTTTCTATAAAACTGTTGGAGTAACCATCCTCATTGAACGTAACCACAGCAAAAGATCCCGATTTTCCTATTTTGGGGTTTCTGTGCCATTTCCCCAAATTTTTCTATAGCGGCTTCCTCAGAATTTCCCCAAAACATAAAGATTGGGATGCCAAGGTTAAGTACTAAATAAGATCGAATTCCAACAAGAGACAATATTCCAATTAGGATACTTTTTTTCAAATTGACATTTTGGTCTGGGTTACTAGCAATAACTAAACAGTTTTCTGGATTGTTTTCGCAATTACTTGCAGTATATAACCTGGAATTTTATATAAAAAAGTTCACCTTTACAAATGTGTTTTTGTTATCTACTTCTGTAGAAAAAGCCCGAATACTTGAACCACTTATAACTGTATTAAAGTGAATTCTACTAGTTCTACCGTCATGACTAAATTGACTCAGGTTTACCCTTTACCCGATATAATTTCAAATAAATATGGGGTATGCGGAAAATTTATACACAGTGTTAAACTACTATATATCTGGTTGCTATAGTCATTGCCTACTAATCACTGAAGGGTTTTCAGAGTCATGACATAAGTCGCACGGAGTGCTGACATAAATGTATAGCTAAGTAGATGTGGATCACAACGTTATGACACAAAGAAAAGTTTGTGTACTATTGTAATCAGTTTTGCACAGACTGAATATAGATCTAAACACAGGTCTCGAGATCTCTGTAGAGCTTTTTCGAAAAACCTGGATTGGCAATGAACCCCGAAAACTTCTTAATTATATACAAAAGCTTCAAGTAGTTTGGAGTTATAGTCATGAGAGACGAAAGTAGGTAAAGATCATAACAGTCCAACTAAGAAACGAAACGATTCAACGACCACGATGACTGCAGACGAAGTACCGCCAACTTTAAAATGGGCTGGAAATCAAAATCAAAACCTTGTACTTGGAGTGGAAGAAAGAACAAACTTTTTGAGAGAGATGGACGGAGTCACTAGATGATAGAAAATCAGTGGATGTTGTCTACATCGATTACAGAAAACCATTTGTTAAAGTTCCATATAACAGACTCTTGTCGAAGTTGAACAATCTAGGGATAGCCAGACCTCTCCTAAAGTGGATCAAAGACTTTTTAGTGTGTCGTATAAAGGAAGTAAAAGCAAGTTATAAGTGCTCCTCATGAAAACCAGCACATAGTAGAGTGCCACGAGGCCATGTTCTGAGTCACAAATTTTTAAAATATTTGTAAATGACCTCCCAAATATTATTGAGCCCTTGATGCCTCTTTACTCTGATGACATCAAGATTTAAAGAACACTAGCGAGGAACTCAGATGCATATGCGTTGGAGACTGAATAAGACGTTCTGATTATCTGGTCTGAAATATGGTTGATGCCTATCAATGTGACTGTGTTTACAAGTACATTGAACTAAGGCAAATAGCTACAGCATTGGGGAAGTGTCTATGCCTGTCGTCTAGCTTCACATAGTTCGAAGGGTAACAGTGAGCAACAATCTTAAGGCCGTGGCCCTTTACTTTGCGGTCGCGACTAAGAGGTTCAGAACTTTTTGAATCTTAAGATGGACATTTGCCAAGTTCAATACATGTATGTTCATCACGGTATACACAACCCTAATGAAATCCAAACTTAAAAACTGCTTTTGAGCTGCAAGCCCCTATTTAAAAAGTGACTCGGATATCTGAATAAAGATACAGAGAGAAGCTAACAGTGCAAATCCGGAATTCCAAATTCATCAATCAAAAAGGTACATGAGAAACAAAACATCTTTACCCCGTCGTACAGATCATCGGGAGGTAATCTGATTTTGATTTATAAAATGCTAAAAAGTGGTTTTAAAAATGATGTGTTCCTTCTTTTCTTCTATTAGGTTTGGACAACTCAGAGGACATAGCAGACAAGATCAAAACCCATGAACGAACAAAATAATAGTGATCTACAGGTTTCCATATGGAGTTATTAAATTTTGTAACCTGTTGCTCGATTCAGTGACGTCCATGCTTCCAATCGATCCATTTAATAGAAGAGAAGACCCTCACAGAAGCTTATAAGATAATGATTAACACAGGCCTTCTTTCCGCAATACACAAGTCTGAATCTAAAAGAGGTCCAAAAACATTCCTTCCTTATCGGAAGAGTGATAGAGAATTTACAACAAAAGTAAATGTCCCACTACCTATGGGATCGAAGTGGACGTTTACTATTCTTCCAAAACATTCGAAAAATATGCAATTATCGTCCCCTCTGGCAAGAAGTTCCACAGAATGCTGATTTTAACCACGGTAAAACACACACGAGTTTTCGCGTGAGTCCCTTTACGTTTTACCCTACCCGGATGTCCTGTCAGATGTCGTCGGGCACTGGAGCATACAAGTGATTTATCAGGGTGAGTAGGGTTTTGAGAGATGTGATATGTTACTGTCACGTCACTTCCAACCATTCTGTAATGTATAAACTGAAAACTTAGGGCATTCAGGAGATTTGAATATGGCTTATTTTATAGTTCAAGTACCTTCAATGGTTACTAACTTTGAAAATCCTTGCCGTTGATATTGATCCCATAAAATTGACTGAACACGCTCATGTGAAGATCCTTGGTTAGGCATATGCACCAGATCATGTCTGAGTACTCCGTGCATGGCTTCCATGACAATTATTCAGCTTTGACTGCATACACCTCAACACACCGATTATCATTGAAATATATGTCCACATCCTTTCATTTTTGACTTCCGGTATCATCAGCTATTAGATTACTTCATAAAAATATATTTCCGAGAGTAGAATTAGCTAACAGCCTACATCCATAAACTCATCTCACCTTTTCTATTACCTTTCTTAATCCGCACAATTCGAATCATTGTTTCACCGAGATGCTATAATGGTTTTGTTAGGGCATGATGATTGTTTATGTCTATTTTCTTACTCAGAACATATTTATTTTACCTTTTACACCTTAATGAGTGTAGGTTCTTTCCTTTATGCTCATACATTTATAAATGTTTATATAATCCATAGTTAAAGTTTACTTTGAACTCTGTCCTACATATGATATTATTTAGTCAAATTCTATTCCACAATCATAGGTGTAAAACACTTGCAAATACATTTTAACGAATTGACACTCTTTTAAGGTTTGCAGAATTTGCTAAAATATTGTCGACATTATTTAGGCGTTAATGAAACTATTCTGCTCAATTACACTTGCGATGAAATTTGAAATGACCTCTTCGCAACAATCAGGTGTGAATAAGTTGTTTGTGTTTGGTAATCCTAATAGTAACGTGCTTCAAGAGAGTGATGATCTCAGTGTAGAAGCAAGTTCTTACAATTTGGGGGCTCAAGTAGACTACAGAAACAGTCTTATACAGTACGGGAGCCAGGCTACCAAATGTTTCGGAAATAAAACAAAGACGATGACTTCCGTCGGTTTAATAATGGTGTGAGAAAAAGCAGGAATGCCTAGGCCTTTTTCTGTGGTGAAAAGTCTATTATCGCAAACAACCAAAAATGATAGAGTGACTACACCACTGCACCCTACATTATCGTCCTTCATTTACCGGTCTTATAAAGGACACGGCCTCTGATGTTGTAGTCGTGTATCTTACTCATGTTTCTGTGAAGATTCGAGATATAAGAAGGTGTAAGCATTTCTCTCCAAATCTTATTTGAAGTGAAGTGGTAGGTAGTGACGCAGACATTGAATCTAGTGACACTTTTTACCATTGCTAGGTGGTCAACAAAAGAGCCAACTTTGACAGCCCTTGGTTTCTAGCCGACGTAGACAGGAAGTCCCTTAATTAGATTCTTAGTACTCATGAGGTAAAGAAGGACAGCAATCAAATGAATACGCAAAACCCAGTATCAGGAGATATATGTATGAATCAGCTTAGAGTATATAAAATAAACGGAGGGTCGAACTGTATTATAAGTGACAGTGATGGTATAGCAACACTCTTACGATTAATCTTAATCATGGTTAATTTTTGTCAAGTTTTTTTACTAGTTTCCTTAACATACAATGTCATTCGGACAGTAACAATTCGTCTACTCCTTTGTCCATTATGATCACTATCTTATCTGTATAAAAGTGTGCTCTTGATCACATGTGACAGTCTACGCACATATCCCTCTCTAGCTTAAATGTTGATGACTTTAATATTGCTCGATGAATTATTCTCATTCCCATGTATATATTGCTCAAATCCTAATGCTAGCTTTTGCATTGCCTCGCTACTCCTTGAATCGACTCGACCATAAATTCGGTTCTACATTCGCTGATACACATTAGCCCCACTGCTCCAAATTGCTCAATGTACTTGTAATCCTCTAGCATTGAAAACAACAATGATCCACCATTCATTTCAATATATTGCAGCAACGAATATTAAATAATGGTCCCCAGAGAGTGATTTCAGTAGATAAGTAGGTGAAAAAGGGCTGTGAAAATCGTTTGGGCATGATAACAATGTTGCTTTGACGGCCTAGGTGAAGCAAATACTGATAGTTGTTGTATGCCATGATACGCGATTTGTTAACAACAGAATTTGAGCTATTACAGACACTGAAGATTATATTAACTGACGAGTACTACGTCTCCAAAGATAGCTTAAGTCTGCGTTATGACTGGTGGGTAGGTGGCTTACTTGCCTAGTTGCTCGCTCTGTAGGCTCAGATACAGAACAAGATGTTAAGGATTATTTGATGCTTCATTATTTCAGTGAAGTGGGAAGTATGAGATTTTTTGTATGTGAGGTACAGTTGCACCCTAATTATTTACTTAAGATGTGTTAACCTAGGTATTTATTTCTGCTTTTCCCCGTGGTCATTCGAGTGACACCAACCGCGTTGGACCAACATGCTGGGGGTTCGGGTAATAAATAGAATATAGGGATTTGGAAACATCAAGGACGAATAGAATACTAATAGAATATTATGCGATTGTGAAAAACCAACGGGGAAAGGTGTGCTGATTGTCACCGTTGAAAAACGTTTCTAGGACACAAAAGTTTATAAATTACTAGCTTTCATTCATCAGATGCGTACGGTACTCCTTGTCGATAATAAACTACATGATATGGTGATCAGCAAGAGTTGAATGCGGAAGTGTGGATCAGGGATTTCCTGACTGATGTCTGTCGATCAGGGTTACTGATGAGATGGGTTATCAGATAGGGTACGTAAGAAGTTGGCGAGTGGGAGGGTGGCGTTACTGACCAGCAAACATGATGGTGGGGAGATAACTTGAATCCACCCGTGTCTGTAGGGCAGAACATATTAATTACGGCTCCTTATGTCTAGTGGAATGTCACGAACCAACGGTATTGATGCGAAATTATTCATGAAAAAATACCACTTTAGATCATGTAAAAAAACCAAATTGGTTCCACTTCCTACCGAGTAATCCTATTACAAGCAAACTAGACAATTGGCTAAAAACGAAGCCCACTCTATACCCTATAAAATCTAAAAACAAAAAGAGAGTTCAAACAGCCTCGAAAAAAGGAAGACAGCCATTTGTATCCGAATACTGTTTTCAGCACTTTATTTTATATTTACACAATTCCATACTTTCTTCTGAACTACCTTCCTTTATACATTTCCTTACCCACTCATACCTTGCCCACATTTATTTTTCTTTAACACATTGGTATGTTCTTACCTAATAAATACTTCAGTAACAGACTAAATAGTTATACATTAACTGTTCCTCCATGAATATTGTGTGCTCTGCTTTTCGTCCTTCCTTTTTCTTACACCTTTTTCAGCCTCCTGCAGATACTCCACCGAAAACAGATATGTCACGGGTGACTTTGTCCTACACCGTTATTAAAGCCTCAGATATTCCGGAGGGATATAAGTTCGAAACTTCTAAAAGCCCCCAACTTCGCATGTATCT